CTGTTCTACTTCAAAGTCGGTAAAATTTTTTTGAAAACCACAACCCACCTATCCTCCCTCAAATGGATTTTATAACCAAATTAAGCCTTTATAAACCAAAGCATATACTGCATGTGATAAATTCTCTTCTAATAATTTACAATAAAACTAGTTATGTGGCATTCTTGTGATAATTGAGAATACAGTCACTTAAATCATTTTCTGTGTGTCTGGATGAGAAAGATGACATGACTATAGTAATGGTATTATATAAAAATATTATTACTCTAGCTTTCAGGACTTGAAATCTGAAATCTTCATTCAACTTTAAAGGCTAGTTAGACATCCTCTGGAGGCTCTTTAACTGATTTGGTTGACACTCATCGCCATTCTGTACAAACATCTACTGTTATACTTAGTATTGCATTTATTTCTTTGTTTTTTAATCTTAATTGAATTGCATGAATATGTCTTAAAAGGAAGAAAAACTAAGTACTGAGGAAGTACTGAAAAGGAATTGATGAGATTGAGAGGTCTACACAGAAAAATATGATAGAATTTTAGGTGGCAGAGATAGAAAAAGAAGAAAAGACAATTTAAGTGTTGGCAGTGATAAACATATTTACTCAAGTTTTAAGTCTTATACTACAACATTCCTGCTTCTCTTAATTTCCACTACCCTCTTTGCTTGAGCCTACTTCAACCACCATTCCCATCTACTTTTACTTTGCTATAAACTCTACAAACTAAATCAATCAACCCTCTGAACTTGGGTAAAGAGTAACAAAAAGAGTTAAGTGTTTGCTGTGTTGATAGAAGGTTTCCTTCTTCAAATGATATCCATATGCTTACAGTAATACTAAATTTGTCTAGAATTTAATAAAATTTCCTGTTAGGCCAAAAGATCTTTTTATATAAAATAAATACATTCTATCAACATAAATTACAGATGTTCATTTCTCAAACTGCAAAAATTCTGTTCAATTCTGAACTTAGAAAATTTATCAAAACAAGCTTTGGAAGAATCCAAAATGAAAAAACTTTGGCTTTTTTTCATTAAGTATAAGTTGGAGATGGAAAAGAGCCTTGAAGAGCCACATCTCGTCATGGCTAACATTTGCTGCACTCAAAATAAATAAAATACATTTTGAACATTTTTGTTACATTTAAAAGTTTTACTGTTCTACACTTTCATTTAGACTTGAACAAATTTACTCAGTTTAAGTTTCATATACTCTCTCATCCAATTTTTTCACGTATCTCACATTCTCAATGTTATTTTAGGTACAACCCCAATTATGGCCATCAAAACTTTTAATGAAAGACTAAAGTTTTGATCAATTCCCCTTTGATAAATTTTATTGTAAAAGAACGTGGTATTTTATTTGTATTTTGGAAAGGAAAGGTCTTTTAAAGAATGCTATAGAAATATAAAGGAAAGGCTTTTTAAAATGTTTAATCTTCACAGTATAATAAAATATGAACAAAATCCTTATGAGACTCTTGGGTTAAGCAAAGAATATTTCTTGCACAACCAGATTTTAATATTAAATATGTATCTTTAAACCCAAAGAATGAAAAGTGACTCCTTGATTTGTTATACCTAACAGTGGAAAAAAACAATCTAGCAGCTTAAGCATTCAGAGTACACAAAGAATCAGAATCAGATACAGAAGTAGGAAGGGACTTTTGAGCAGTCCAGCTCCCTCACTTTACAGCCAAAGATCCAGAAACTTAGAAAGATCAAGTGATTGTATATTAAGTGTCCGATTCTCTGCCTGTGTTCTTTTCACACTTTTATACTTCCCTGTGTTAAATAAAAAATTATATATTTACATTTTATTATAGGACTGGAAGTAAGAAGATAAGACATTATAGCAGCCATATAGGTAAGAGTAAACAGGGTTAGTCCAAAAAAGTGGCACTGAAAAAAAAGAGAGGTCAAGATAAAACTGATATACTATCAAGGCTAGAAATAACTAGTATGAAATATTAGAGAAAAGAAGAATGGCTGAGGAACCCAGTTTATACATTTATTTATTTATAGTTGGTGTTCAATAAACATTGATTTATTCATTCAACAAACATTATTATGAGCCTATTTTGAATCAGGAAAAAAATCAGACTTCTTGCCTCTTCAAAGCCACAGCTGTAGCAGAAATTTAGTCAAGAACTCAGAAGTTACCCAAATCCTTAAACTTCTAATGGTTAACTAATAGAACACTATGGTCTCTCAAGCTGATAAAAATTAGTTTACAACTAAACAATTTATACCATCACTGTAGTGATTAATAAAAACATCTACTTTATAGGCTAGCTGGTTATTTATCTGGTTTCTTGATGTAAGTAAAATGTGCAAAGAAATGAGTTACATAATGAGATTCCCTAAATTCCAAATCAGCTGTGTTATTATACCTCCTAAAAACCTCATACTAGAAATAAGTTGGTTCAGACTTAATTTCAGAAGTGTACTGATCTCACATTAAAATAACAGTTTGGTCTGAGTCTATCAAATACAAAAACACCTATTAAGTATATTTGATTCCCTGAATTTATTTAACTCCCTTTGTAAGGAGCTATTCTATACTTTTCAAGGTATCTAATTTCACTTTGGTCCCTTAATTAAATATCTCAAAAAATCCAGCATTCAATAATTTTCTTCCCTGTTGGAACAAACACTCCTCCTGCTATTGCTCTTCCTCAGTAGAAACAACTTTTAACAAAATTCAGGCTTCTGATATGATTCATTAGCAAACACCTGAGTATCTACTACGGGTCAATCATTGTGTAAGATTTAACTGATAATAACAAAAAGCTTAATTTAACAAATAGTAATCTATCCATTTTTAAGCACCAATAACACACACACAAAACTACAAATGAACAGCTAAGTGAATAAGAAGTCAGGGAAATAACAACATTAATATGTGGAAGAATAGTCTGATGTAGAATTAATATATTTTAATTCCTTGAGAAAATGCCATATTCAAAATGAAAGTGGAAGTAACAAGGTAAGGCATATAACTGCGTATAGTTCATATTTAATAATGACTAAAGAGATTATCAATTTGAGAGTAGATTACTAAGAAACTATAAATTTTTTTTTCTCTTTTGAGAAGACAAGCTTATTAAGTACTCCTTTTCTCATTACTGTTTACTCAAAGTTTCCTGCTTCTATATGAACACACACATACTACTTTTTCCATATCAATGTCATACAAAAAAATTCAGTCCTTTAAAGCTTTAAGTTTATTGATAATAAGTAATATTCATATTTTTGTTTCACTTGATTATAAATTTCTCAGTCAAAACAATAAAAATAGATTACAATTCAAGAGGGATTCATCAACTCAAAACAAAAGCTGCTGAGCATGAGAGTGCAGCTCAGATTAAAAAGGTGCAAAATCAGCATAAGATGTTTCTGCAACATATTTTTATTTTTCTTCACATATTATTTTAAAATTAGCTAAGTAATTTATAAAGGAAAATAAATTGCTCTTAAATTCCCGAAATTTCTTTAACTGATATCAAAAGAAAGTGTTTCAGCCCAAATGGAACCAAACTAGAAAATAACAACAGTAAAACACAACTGGATCTAGCCTTTCCTGAAAAATAGTTATTTAAAATAAGAAAAATGTGTGCGTCTTCAGGTTGTGATATCTTCAGTCTTGAGGAATAAATATCTATATTCAACTATCCTCATCACACATACTTTCTTATTCCAATTTCTTTGGGCTTTAAAAAAATTAGTGGACTTTAAATATAAATATATAGAGAAACCGCTCACAGGAGTTTTACATGAGAACAAATTTGAACCATACTCCAAAATATAGTTCAATATACTAAGAGGGTAAGGGGAGAGCTGGGGCAATGCAAATAAAGTTCATTTGAAAAGATGCAATTTAATTCTGTGGGTAAGATTAATACTGGGCAAAACAAACTTTTTTTTTTTTTTCTGAGGAATTCTTTTTTGTTTGTTTTTTAAAAATATTACCGATGTCCCTTTTTCTACCCAATGACCCATTCCATCCCATCCCTTCCCCCTCCCCAGTCCCTCTCCTCACCATTGTTCGTGTCCTTGAGTTGTGCACATATGCATATAAATTCTTTGGTTACTCTCTCCCCCTCCACCCACTCGCCCTCCTCCATCCTTCTGACATTCATCAGTCTGATCTAGCGAATTTATTCTATAGTGAAAGTGGTAATTTAAAAATAGAAAGTGCTCTACAATATTAATTTAATTTTATAGAAATGAGCAAAGAATGTTAGAAAATGTTTATCAAAAACTAAAGGCATCTGGGATTGAAATCATTCACAATCATACCAATTAAATTAAATTAAATCTTGAGGAACAATTATGGAAAACAAATCAAGAGTGGCAAAACTATTGTTGGTCTCTCAATCAAATCCCTTATACACCCAAAGATTAACTTGCTCCCTTTCAGTCATTAGTTTTTAAAAATGCTTTAGTAACATTGCACTAGCAATTTCAACTTAAAAGTACACACTCATACACATTTTATTTCTAAAAAAAAAGTCATATCCTAAACACAAAAGCAAGCAAGAGCAACAGGCTTAATACTGCTTTTTTTCCTCTCTCATTTCTACCAGAAGAATAAAAGAAAAAAAAACTCCCCGAGAGGTGGCAATCACCCCAGAAGGCATTTCTGCATAAAAAGAGCTACTAGCCAGACTCCTCAGCTAAACAGTGACCATTTGCAAGCCTCCTAGTATATCCGCAGCAGACACACTATCAAATTAAAGAACCGCAAACGAAGTGGGCTGAAACCTTTCTTTGTGCAAGCCCAGCCTCTTCTTCCTGTGATGTCATCTTACAAATCTAGCAAGCCTTTATTTTCACTTCAGAGAAAGTTCATCACACAATACAGCTGGCAACGGAGGAAAAGGCCTCATTCAGCAAGAGCTAACATGCTTAGGAATTTATTTCGGAACATTTAAAAGACTCTTCTGCTTACCACCATTTGGGATCCACTACCGAATAACAAAAAGGAAAACTTCATTTTAAAAAAGCAAGAAGTAAATGCAACCAAACTGGGAATGTTTAAGTCTCTGAAAGTCTGCAGTGAAAAGCAAAATAAAATTGCTAACTTTAGCTTAAACATTCTGGAGCACAAAGAAACTTTAATTTTGGAATATCATCCTGACTACTGAAATACAAGTTTACCAGACAAGTAGATTTATTCTGTCTCAGAGCACGGCGTTTCTTTACAATTTATAATCCAATGGATTGGCTTCACTGACTACATTTTTTAAAAGTTGCTCGTCGGTTAACAAGCCCTGGATTCAAAGATTTTCTGGAGACTAGAAAATCCGACTATTTTCCTGTTGAAGAACCAAGTGCAAACTTTACAGCAACAAATTTCATGTTTCTTTTGGAGATTCTGGAGGAAAAGGAAATATTTATAAAACCACCCAAAGATCCAGAGAATTTGCAAATACACTGGGGGTTTTAAAGTGGTCAAAATCTGAATACCAAAGGAGCCTGCTGCTGACCAAAGGACTTCAATCAACACAGTAAGCTGACCGTGCCTTTATAATGGTAAGCAATAACAGCTCTCAATGCTCCTATGATGACTCCTTTAAGTACACTTTGTATGGGTGCATGTTTAGTATGGTGTTTGTGCTTGGGTTAATATCCAACTGTGTGGCCATATACATTTTCAGCTGCACCCTCAAAGTACGAAATGAAACTACAACGTACATGATTAACTTGGCAATGTCAGACTTGCTTTTCGTTTTTACTCTACCCTTCAGGATATTTTACTTTGCAACACGGAACTGGCCATTTGGAGATTTACTTTGTAAAATTTCAGTGATGCTGTTTTATACCAACATGTACGGAAGCATTCTGTTCTTAACCTGCATTAGTGTAGATCGATTTTTGGCAATTGTCTATCCATTTAAATCAAAGACTCTAAGAACCAAACGAAATGCAAAAATCGTTTGCATTGTTGTGTGGTTAACTGTGATGGGAGGAAGTGCACCAGCAGTTTTTTTTCAGTCTACCCACTCTCAGGGTAACAGTACCTCAGAAGCCTGCTTTGAAAATTTTCCAGAAGCCACATGGAAAACCTATCTCTCACGGATTGTAATTTTCATTGAAATAGTAGGATTTTTTATTCCTCTAATTTTAAATGTAACTTGCTCTAGTATGGTGCTAAGAACTTTAAATAAACCTGTTACATTAAGTAGAAGCAAAATAAACAAAACTAAAGTTTTAAGAATGATTTTTGTACATTTGGTCATATTTTGTTTCTGTTTTGTGCCTTATAATATCAACCTTATTTTATATTCTCTTATGAGAACACAGACATTTGTTAATTGCTCAGCAGTGGCAGCAGTAAGGACCATGTACCCCATCACTCTCTGCATTGCTGTTTCAAACTGCTGCTTTGACCCAATAGTTTACTACTTCACGTCAGACACAATTCAGAATTCAATAAAAATGAAAAACTGGTCTGCTAGGAGAAATGACTCCAGATTCTCTGAAGTTCAAGGCACAGAGAACTTTATTCAACATAACCTACAGATCTTAGAAACTAAGGTATTTGACAATGAATCTACAATATAAGCTGCCTGAAATAAAACCACTGGAACTTCACTGGGACAGAACCTTCAAGTTCCTTCAACTGTGAAAAGTTTTCTTGAACAACTATTTCTGCATCTCGAAAAGAAAATAAGCACGTGGACATTTTAAAGTTTTTAGTATTAAAAAAAGTTGTATTCAATGTGTTAAGCATTCAAATGTATTCTATTCTTGTATACACTCCAATTTATTTTTCTTAGCCATTTTGATTTGTACCTTCCTCATTAAAAAAATCCCTTAAAAAGTTGTCCAAAGTCTAAAAATGATTATGATTTAAATTATGTGGTGACCATCTGTACTGTCTTTGAAGTTCTTAGTAATTTTATACTAAGCGATTTACAAATATTAAATGTTTTGTTTAAATAATGTTTTCATTCAACATATATCTAATTTCTGTTTCACTTGAATTGAAACTACTAATCATGTTTCTTATACTATAATAGTATAAATGAGAACAGAGAGTAATTTGAAATAATCAGTAAGTGTTTTTGGAGTATTTTTCAAAAAAGTAGCTAAAAATGACTTCTGTAAAATACGAGATACTGACACTATTTGAGGATCTTGAGCAGTTACACTTAAAAATTATTAAGGATTTTGTTTTTGCATGCAATTTATAAAAAGCAGATGCTATCTAACTATAAAGTACAGCATGCTTTAAAATTACTATTCGATTCATTTTCTGGCTTTAACAGCACCAAATTTCAAAATTANTCTAACTATAAAGTACAGCATGCTTTAAAATTACTATTCGATTCATTTTCTGGCTTTAACACCAAATTTCAAAATTGTATATGCCACAAAAATTGAGGAGAAAACTAAGTAGATTTTATTTTGCTACGTAAATGTTTAAAAAACAAAATACCACTAAAGATACATTTTAAAGGTATATTTATGTCACACTAAATAACTTGTATTTTAGGTTAGAGAAACATCACAAATANCACCAAATTTCAAAATTATATATGCCACAAAAATTGAGGAGAAAACTAAGTAGATTTTATTTTGCTACGTAAATGTTTAAAAAACAAAATACCACTAAAGATACATTTTAAAGGTATATTTATGTCACACTAAATAACTTGTATTTTAGGTTAGAGAAACATCACAAATAGTGAGATAGTAAAATACAATATTTGGCACTTAGAAAGTAATCAATGTATGTATTACTTCCCTTCCATCTTTTGATCATTTAAAGGCAATAATGAATAGCTGAAAATATCATTTCAAGTTGTCAAAATGTTACTGTATGGCAAAATAATTCATGAAGTAAAGACATAGTTCCTTACATAAAAAGCAGTAAAACTACAGGGACAAATAAGTAAATACGGCTACATTTTCATGTCACTAAATATAAAAAAGGTAATTGCTTTGAGCTATAATTTAGATATGATGTACCAACTACACTGAAAATTTTTTACTTGAAAAAAAAGACATATAATTAATTTCAATTCAGCATTCAACCTATCTGATTTTCACATCTTACTCTTTCAAGAATACAACTTTGGACAAATACTCTGAAGATTTATATCTGATTTTTGCTCTTCTTTGGGTTTGTGATACAATGATTTCAGAGAAATCATAGTCATTTGCTAGAAAAGTAAACCCATTTTCAATGAAGTAACAGTGGTGATTTTCTTTAGGGAACCATGGTTTCCTTTAGATAAACCTAAAGGAAAATAAGTCCTTAAAAAAAAAAAAAAACTAGTGAAGAAATTAAGCATGGTCCTTTATATCCCAATAGTAGTATATATTCTGTAAACATGTTTTCCTTATTTGACTCTGAAGTACTTTTATTTGATACCATGCTTTGGAAAACAAATACATTTAGCACTCTAAACATACAGGGTGGGGCAAAAGTAGGTTTACAGTTTACAGTTGTGAGTATTCAAAACAGTTTATTCTTGTATTATTAATTATTGGATGATTTTTCATATGAACAACTGTAAACCTAGTTTTACCCCACCCTGTATATATATATATTTTAATTACTTTTTAAAATCCTCAACCAAGGATATTTTTTCCATTGATTTTTTAGAGAGAGTGGAAGGGGTGAAGAGAAGAAAAAAGAGAGAGAGACATCACTGTGAGAGAGACACATCAACTGGTTGGCCAGGGGTCGAACCTGCATGCCCTTAACCGAATCACACCTGTGACCCTTCTGTGTGCAGGCCTACGCTCTAACCACTGAACCACACAGGCCAGGGCCCCCACCCTATATATTTTTCAGTTGAAAAGTAAGTAACAACTTACTGATATGGTGTAAAGGGGTGGGAGTTTGTTAACAGATTTCTCAGAACTTTCCTAGGGTTAAAGATCTGTGAGCAACATAGGAAGATCTCAAAGCATATATATTACTTTAAAATACAAGCAAACTAGCTGTGGCCGAATGGGTCAGTTGGCTGGAGTGTTGTCTAGTACACCAAAAGGTTGCAGGTTCAATTCCAGGTAAGGGCACATATCCAGGTTGCAAGTTCCATCTCCGGTCGGGGCACCGGGTAAATATTTCTCTCTTCCTCTTTCTCTAAAATCAATGAAAATATGGGTCCTCGGGTGAGGACAAAAACAACCCAATAAGCAGAACAGTCATCAGATAGTACTGCACTCACTGGTGAAATTATTGTTGCCCTCTTCAACAGGAAGACGAATAAAAAGTTTTGTAAGACTATTCACAAATAAATATGTAACATAACAAATATTAGTTTTTGCATTTAGAACTTCAAATTCTGGGTAAATCTTACCTACAGGGACAGAAGGAGTATTACAGTTATTTTCCTTTGTTAGAGTTCACTTTAAGGTAAATTATATATTCCTAGAGTTTTCTCTTTACCCAGAAAACCTATATTAATAAAACTCTGAGAATTTTACTTTTTGTTACCTTAAAGTAACAGTACCAAGCCCTCCCTCCCCCAAAATGGTGCCCACTATTTTCAACATTTTTATAGAAGAAGATGATATAACTAATCTTCCTTTCCACATTAATTCTCTTCAAAGGAACAGAAGATGAGAACATTTCTGAGGTGCAGAAAACAGCTTTCCAGCATACTAATGATTAGTTCTTAACTTAAAAATGATCTTTTCTGAGAAAATACCAAGTAATTAATTTACCAAAAGAATGTTATGACAATATATGCATTGTACATAATATATTCACAGAAAATTTAAAGAAACTGAAGATACTATTTTATCAAGGAGTTCTGACTTCAGATATTGGTATTTTAAAAAATTGGTCACTCAGTTGAGGAACATAAAATACAAAATGGAACATCAGCAAACTTTATCTCAACTGAGACACATTTAATTTATGAATGGCATGTAGCTAGCAAGAGATTGAAGCAATAGCTTTTTAGTCCTGCAGTTCTGGACCCCTGATGAACCAGGTACCTGATCTTCTGTCAATATGTTAAGTTACTATTGCCCTGGAAAAATTTTTACTACCTCCCAACATCCAAACGACTTTAGTGCCTATATGCCAATCCAACATGATGTCACAAATGAAGAATGGTGTGACCTAGTGCTTTTTTTCAGTTGTGAAGGAATTTTTATATAGAAAATTTTATAAACAGTGCTTACTAATAGATGAAGGTAGTCCTAAGGTAAGTTGTTTTAAAAAAGCTCTTTTTGGCTGGCCTGGAAACCAAATTTACCCATTTATAACATGACTTCTATGAAATAAATTACAAATTAAAAAGGACTAGTAGATATTTAAATCGATCCACATATTTATTGATCAACAATATTAAATTAGCAAAATTTTCCAGAGATCCAACATATATATAAAATCTTAAAACCACTAATTCTCAAATTTCTATTTTATCTTTCTTCATCTCTTTTTACCTGATGTCTGCTATGCATTTCTAACAGTCAATTTTATAAATGTACAAAAAATATTCATTTAAGTAGGGCAACAAGTCAGGATAATAAAAGAATACAAAATTAACTCCATGCAAACCTCTACTAAGCCTTTCCCTTTCTTCCCTCTCTCAAAAAGATTTACTTCAAAAACAGCTTAGAAGGGTACAAAATTATCTCTTTCATCACTTTGTGCAATGGGAATGGCAAAATCACAATCCAAGAGAAAGGACTCCAGAAGTAGAGACAATTAATGAATTTACACATTAGTTTTCAAACTTAAAACCTGCTTTACTTATATAGATTCAATCCAGTAATTTTTGGAAATAAAGTAAATATTATGAATGAAAAACAAATATATATTATATACTTATAGCCAAGTTACAGTTAATACCTATAGGGTGAATGTGCTGAGTTTCATTATCTTCCTAACAAAATGGCTTCTGGTAAATTCACGATTCAGAATGGAAAAAGCCCTGAAGTCATTTGAAACAACTACCTCACCTTACTTAGGTTGAGGAAACTGAAGAACTAAAATGGTAAGTAGCTTGCATAGGGTCACATAAGTTAAAGTAGAGTCAGGATAAAAATTGGGGGTTTTTGTGGGGTTTTATGGTGTGTTTTTTGACATGTCCATTTCTTTAAGGTGGCAAGGGAAGTAGCACTTGCAAAGGCCCTGTGAGAGAGAACTTGGTATACTGAAAGGATTAAAACAAAGCCAAAGAAGCTGGAGATGTAGGGCTGAGACCTTATATGTACTTACAGGCCATGATAAAGCCATGTTAAGATCTGAGGAGTTGTGGAAAGTCCTGAAAAATTTCAAGTAAAAGGAGAGACATATCAGATTTAAAATTTTAAAAAGATCCCTCTGATTACAGGGTAGAGATGCATTTGTCTTCAGCAAAAAGGAAAAAAGAATCACAATAAGAGCCATATTTATTCAATTTGAATTAAAAGAGCTCTTCCTATCCTTTTTTTATTATTATATCCTTTCTCTCTTATTAAAATGGCTTTTCTTTTTTGAAATGATGGTGGTGATAGATGGAAAGGATTTAAAAACATATTTTTTATTGATTTTTAGAGAGAGGGAAAGAGAAAAACATCAATGTGAGAGTGAAACATCAATGGGCTGCCTCCTGCATGCCTCCTACTGGGGATTGAGCCTACAACCCGGGCATGTATCCTGAGTGGGAATCCAACCAGCAACCTTTTGGTGCACAGGAGGATGCCC